GGAATTGCTGGTGGCTTTTCCCACATTTTATGAAATTGTTCGTAACTAAATACTTCTATCTCTTGCACTCGTGATTTCTGATTTTGATTATGGAGATAAACATAGGCTAGATAAGCAACCATACAATAAATTAATAGTTGTATAACTAAATCTAACTGATAATCTTCTATTTATATAAAACAGAAAGTCTGCATGAATGTATGTATGTATGTGTGTATGTATGTTCGGAATACAAATTTTTGTTTCTGAACCGATTAGGCCCAAATTCTGCAAACATACATTTTAGACGCCGGCGGGTAACACAGGCTACTTTATACAGTAGTTGGTCGTCTAATGGCGATAATTCGCGAGTTTTTTGCTAAATTGCGTCATTTTCAAAAATGAAGTGATTCAATCTTTATCAGACTATTTAAACAAGATCATGTAAACATGTAAGTCTGAATGGGAGTACGTTTAAGCGGAGTGGTTGCTTATTTGGATTAACAGTAGGAATCAGAGTTCAAAAAAAATTATAAGGCAAAGGCAGCCAAATAGTGTGCATTAATGTCTTCGTTCGCATTTGGAAATGAAGGAAAAAGATGTAAATCATTTGAAAGTTTAGTTGACATCTGTTCAGCTGCCTTCGGTAACTAGATGAAAGTGATAGGGCCTGATCGAAACCGGAGAGGGTAGGGTGGGGATCTCGAAGAACGCTTGGAACTTTCTGCACTTCCACTTCCTCGCCACAGTTGTTGTATGCATTAGACATTTTTTTGGTAACGATGGTTCTATTAAGTGTTGTTCAATAATCTGGCGTACACACAACTTCGGGTTTCAACAGCTGTAGAAGGACGCGGTATAGCAAAAATGGACGGGTTTACAACGATAGGCCTCATAAAAATACAGAAGCTGGGTTGTTGTACCTTAAAGATTCCATAAAAGCGAGCAAAGATCATGCAAGTACATATTTTGAGATGAAGGTAAGTGCGAGGCGGTTATTCATTTAGACAACAAACGAGCATAGCTGGTAGGCGTTGAAAAAGCAAGATAATTAAATTTCAAATTAGCTCTTTTCTTGGCAGCTAAGACAAAGACAAGGAATAAAACAATATGATAATGAGAGGGACAGAGTGATAATGTATACACGTCGCTGAGTTCTTAATTGCATTTTTAAACTAAAAAAGTCAGGTTTCAAGATGCGGAGCGTAGTCGCGATTGCCAGGTAGTGAGCTAATAAATTAAAAACCATAAGATATAACTGAACAAAAGCGGCTTTGATTTAAGCAGCGGTCAATACAGAAGTATTCAGCAGATGCAAAGTTCTCGTTTCACTGTTTAACAGCGATAAGAAAGTATAAAATTACTTACTTAGTTAAGCTACTTAGTACTTAGATGGCCTGTTTTCACTCATCATGCAGGCTTCAGCATGTTTGCATCCGTTTCTATCTCTCGTTAGAGTCGTCCATGATATTGATATGGAACTGTGCGGCGACATTCGCGAGGTCCATATCCATTATTCGTTACCAGTTGAGATGCGTCCATCCGTGCATATCAACACATCTGGTTAGAGGCTCCTCGCGCGCTTTGCAATGGAAAGCACTGCAGAGGAGTTGGGATGTCCAACTATCGTATATGCTCATTATAAGAGCCCATCAATGGTTTGCCCTAGAGACGCATTCTTCTCGATCGCCAAGATTGACATCGATCTCCTATCTGAACTTTGAAGTCTGATGAGATTTTGGTGCGTCGATTGTACCTCAGAAGACGTCGTGCGCTCTGTGTGTAGCCCGGAGAGCCTTTGTAAAGTGTTAGGCAAAGCTCTGCTGCGCAACAGAGCGTTGGAAGAACTTTCAAGCAGGAATGGCTCGGAGCTCTCCCTCAGCTAGCCAGTGGCACTCTTTAGGGGCCGCAAGCGACCGAGCTGTTCTTTGCCTCTTGTTTAATTCTTCTTTTCAAGCCGTCCTCATAGTCAACGAAAACCTGTATACGTTAAAAGACGTCTCCGCAATTGGAGAGTCTTCTAATTCCAATCCCTAATCCTCGCAGAAAACGGTCTTTATGAATCTTCCTCCGGTTGATTCGCAGTTCCGCTTCCGTACTTCGTTTAGTTCCTCAATATCGTCTTCGCTTCAGCAATATTCCTCGAGAAGAGAATAATGTCGTCCGCAAAATGAAGGTTAACAAAAAATTAAATGACAGTAACCAGAACCTTTGAAAATTGGTATACCAAACGATGGAAAAGCTGTACGGTTGTGGAGCAGTTCTTGTTGTAGCGCCGACAGTATCACATTAATTCCGATGCTGTCGAACGTTTTTTCATAGTCGACGAAGATTAGGACAGGAACGCTGGTACGGCATCTTCTGGAGTACAATCTTCGCAGTTCAGATAGGTCAGTTCTATCTCGCGATCCAGCAGAATACGCTCTAAGGCAGTATCAAAGTAAATACAGACGAAAAAGGTGCGCTAACCTCCACGTGATCGCTTTGCAAGAAGCCAAGAACAGGAAGACGGATGTGAGGCAGCTGAGCGATGGCACATTCATCATTTGTGTTGAAAGTTCCGTCAGGGAATGTTGGAGCCATTGGATTTGTAGTACATCCAATTTTCATTCCTTACCGATGCGCAAGTCATATCACGTCGTCTGGATTCTTCGTCTCCACAATCTACGTCAGAAGGGCGCCACTGTCGTCAATTGCTGTTCCCCAGCGTGAGCATCTGATGACTGGAAATTTGA